AGATCTGAGGGCCTTGATAGCCGCTTGGCTGTCAGTCAAGATCGCGATGTTCTGATTCCGGTAGTTTCGCTTGATATTAAAGTCCGAGCATCTTTCTATGGCGTATGTTTCAGCCTGGAAAATAGACATATGTTTCCCCATGGGTTCCGAGTATCTTATCCTCGGTCCAACTACCCCTACCCCGGTACCCTCGTCGGTCAATGAGCCATCAGTGTACCAGGTAATCATGTTTTGGTTTATCCGATATGTCTCGGATATGCCTGCCCAGCTCTTCTTATTACTCAGTTCAGTCTTAAATCTCTTTGTAAAGCTGAACCTCGGATGCATGGTATCCCTCGGTATTGCAATTTCAGGGAACTTATTCGTAAGAATATCTAACTTCCCACGACCAAGACACCCTACTGCCCCGATATTGGTACCAGTCATCCGTAGTAAAGCTCTTTTCGCCTGAGTCTGTATGTAAATATGAAGAGGGGTAAGATCTAAAAGAACCTCCAAGGATGCGGTTGGACAAGTTCTCATGGCTCCCGTTATGCATACGCATGCCAGCCCTTGTATCTTGGAGAGCACTTTGATTGCTCTCGGCCCAAACGATGGCTCCATAGGTTACCATGGGTCGTACTATTGTCGTGTAGATCCATCTCAGTATCTTTGGTGTGCAGCCCCAACCCTTACCTGCCATGGACCTACACGTCATAAATGATCTTACAGCTTTCTTCGCAGTTTCTTCTACGTGTGCATTCCAGAGTAGTTTTTGGTCCAGTATTACCCCTAGGAATTTAACCTCTTTTTGGTACATGATGTTGGTTCCATCTAGCCTTATCGCTTTTAGACTATCAAGTTTGTATTTCCTTGAGAATGGTACTATAGTGGTTTTTGTTGGATTTACATTCAGCACCACTTTGGCACTACATTTTTTGGTTACGTTCAGCCCTAGCTAGATTCTATCACACAGGGTGTTTTCGAATTTCCCCCTGCATAGTATTACAATANTAGACTATCAAGTTTGTATTTCCTTGAGAATGGTACTATAGTGGTTTTTGTTGGATTTACATTCAGCACCACTTTGGCACTACATTTTTTGGTTACGTTCAGCCCTAGCTAGATTCTATCACACAGGGTGTTTTCGAATTTCCCCCTGCATAGTATTACAATATCGTCGGCGTACCCCTGGCAGGTTAGTCCAGTATCTGTTAGCTCTTGGAGCAGTCCGTCGACGACTATATTCCATAGTAGTGGAGATAACACTCCACCCTGTGGACAGCCCCTTGTTGTTCCGGCAACAACTGTATTATTCGTACAGGTTTGTATTTCTACCCTTCAAGTGCGGAGCATGCAATTAATCCAGGCTACGAGGGTATTGTTTACCCCCCTGCTAATCAAAGCACTGTTTATTGCAGCATGTGAGGTGTTGTCAAACGCCCCCTCGATGTCCAAAAAAGCGCATATAGCAGTCTCCTTATTTTCTAAGCTATCTTGAAGTGCGCATGTCAGCGCGTATAGGGCGGTTTCAGTAGAGCGGCCCGCCAAACATGCATGCTGGTGCGAATTCAGCGGATAGATCAATAAGACCGTAGTCCTTACATAGATATCTACTACCTTTTCTAAACGTTTTAGTACAAATGAGGTCAGGCAGATCGGCCTGAAGGATTTTTGGATGAAGTGGGTCCTTCTTTCCAACCTTCGGGATGAAAGCAACCTTCGCACTTCTCCACGCATCTGGTATATAACCCAATGCTATGCTGCTTCTAATTATTTTTTATAGCGGTCCAATCACGCAATCTAAGCCCTGCTGTAGCATGCCAGGGAAAATTCCATCCGCTCCCGGTGACTTCAGTGGTTTGAAGGTATTTACCGCCAACCTGAGCTGGGGCTCGGAGCATATTTCCTTAGCCACTAACCAGTTTCCTCTGCTTATTTTACTGCACTGCTCAGTCCGATCTGTTTCGGAATAAGATGTAGATCCTGGGAAGTGAGTATCTATGAGAAGTTTGATCTTCTCCCCCTCGCTCCCAGGGAAACTCCCATCACTCTTCCGTAGATTTGCGGACGAAATACAGTTCGTTTTCGCCATTACCTTATAGAGTCTTGTTGCCTCCGTAGTATCTTCTATGCTTTCACAGAAGTTCCTAAAGCTTAAACGCTTAGACTCCCTTATTTCTTTGTTATACAGAGTTAAGGTGTTTCTGTATTCTGACCACTCCCCGGTTCGTTTTGCTCGATTGAACAGTTTCCGGACTTTGGTTCTGAGTTTATTTAAGTTGTTGTTCCACCAGGGTACATCCCTGGAGGAACGTACCTTACTTATAGGACAACTGTCTTCATATGCGTCAATGAGTAGTTCATTGAAGCGCTTTGTAGCGCTGTTGTGCTACATTCAACCTCAGGTTGTCTTTGAACTTCTCCCAGTCTGTCTTCCTGGGATTTCTTAAAACTCTATGTATAGGAGGGGTTGCTTCAATGTCAAACCTTATTATTCTATGATATGACATGGAGGGTTCATCGGATACTCTCTACTCTTTCACTAGCGCTTTCGTTTGAGTATTTCGTATGGTAATATCAAGGACCTGTTCCCTTGCTCGGGCCACAAAAGTTGGTATGTTCCCAACATTAAAGATTTCTAATTTATTTCTAAGGATAAATTCAAGAAGGTACTCACCCTTTTGGTAGGTGTCACTGCTCCCCCATGCCTCGCTATGCGCATTTGCATCACACCCGAGTATTAGGGGTAGCTTCCTAGCCTCGCAGTACTTCACCAGTTTAGTGACAAGCTCTGGTGGGGCGTGCGTGTCATCTCCTGGGAAGTAGCCCGATGCAGCTACGATGTCCTGGATGGTCCCGTTGATGTTGACTGGGACTTGGACCACTACTAGATCCCTCGACAGGAAATCTGAAATACATATATGTTTCAAGCTATTAGTTATTAACAAACCGCAGACGCGGCCCTCGCATGGTGTAGATTTATTTGTGCAACCTTAGTGCTGGTCATCGTCGCAGTTATTGGCGTTCATCGTCTTCGTCCGTTGTCAGAGTTTCGTCAAACTCTGACAAGGTGGCTCTCTCCGAGTCGTCATCAGCACAAATGGTCAGTAGCCCGAGGTCGAAGTCGTCTATACCCTCCATCTCATGAGGTAAAAGACTGACTTCCTCTACTACCGCGCTCCTAGCTGCTTCCACGGCTACCATCTCAGCCACCTCCTTCGGTAATTCCGAACCACCCGGTGGAGTATCTGGCTTGACTATCTTCGCCTTCGGTTCCCTGCCCTTGTGCACATGCACTGGAATACTACCAAACCTGTATCGTAGGATGCAGTTTTTCTTTTTGATAGCGTTCAACGACCGGTCGTCAATCCCGATCGTTAGCATCATTGCTCCTATAAACCTTCCATAGGTCGGTATGCATTCCCTCATTTTGTGCTATAATGAGGTTTAGTAGTTTCTGCGTGTCCACTCCTGCAGCTTTTGGTAGGTACGTAGTGATTACGTGCACCCTGGGTATGTTGTCCCCATCGCACGTAGTCAGTTCCGCACCATCCCAGTCAGGCAGTTTTGGGACAATTTCGCGCAACCATTCGGCTGATTCTGCACCCAAACAGTCGACTAGTATAAGGCCTGGCCGAAAGTGGATGCCGTCGAATTGGAGTATTGACCTCCAACCCTTACCCATCTCCTCCACAATGGCGTCCTCCATCTTTCCCTGATCCTCACGAGTGAGTGTACTCTCAGGGAAAGCCCTCGGCAGAACTGCCAGTCTAATGCGCTTAGTGGCGCTAGCAAAGCTAACACCCGGCTTCCTGGCCTCTGCCTTAAGTTTTGGAGCCACTGTTTCAAGACGGCTCTTCTTCTTCTCCGGCTTTCCTTCAGGAGGACTAATCTCCGCAGCCACCCGTTTACTGTCACCGGGTTTTTCCCGATCTAGGGGTGTCTTTTTCTCCGGATTCCCCTCCGGAGGACTAGCTTTCGCAACCACGCCTGTGCTGTCACTGGACTTCTCCCGGTCCAGTACTGTCCGGTANGGTGATCTCGCATGGAAACCAGAGTGGCTAGTATCACACTTACCCAGCGGGCGAGGTTGATACAGCGGCATCAGGTCACCATACTAGCTTCCCTCTTGGTTCGTGGTGATATGACGGTTGCCGAAGCAGCCGCCATAGTACCACTTAAGCCCCATCCCCACGGCAAGGAGACCGACACAGATGGAGTTGGCTTTCTTTATACATCCACTTTTAAATTTGAATTATTGTTATAATAAATTCGAATTATTGTTTGCTTCCATTTCGGTGAACTGCGCAAGTTAGTTATTAAATAAATGTCGTATAAAAACAGCAGATTTGGTTTG